GTCACTTTGTATTCCGACCGACGATCGGTCGATCGTGTTTGGTCGATCGATCGATCGTCATCGTTTTTTTTTTTAATATTTTTTTTTTCAAATTTACGGGTTGTTACACCATCATAAATAAAAATGCAAATAAACTTCAATTAAACAACACTTGGGGTTGAGATTATCATTAACACTCGGATGTTGAAGACAAATGTCTCAAAATTGGGGAAAAATACATAAGCTGGAAACTGATCTTAAAGCCTCTTTAGATCCTAAAACTCAATTATTCGGTCTGAAATCCGGATTTTTGCTACAAATCGCCCAGTTCTTCATCTCCTCTCTACCCTCACCTCTCTCTGCAAATCCGAAATTTTTCATCCTAAGTCCGAGCGATTAACGCCTCAATTCGGTCTCTACAGAACAAGGAGAGCATCACCAAGCTTCCCATCCATCACCCAGAACACGAGTTTAACCCGAGGTGAGTGAATTCGAGTTTAATTCGGAAGTCTGTTGACATGGGGTTTTGGGTATTGAGTGATTTCGTGCAAAATTGATCCTTGATTCGTGTTCTACTTGCAATTCTATGAGTTTTAGTGTAATACCCATAGTGAATCGTGCATGTTTGAGTGATTTTGGTGAGATCCGAAGACCAGAACGTCCGTCTGAGGTCAGACTGTTCGTTCTAGGTCTATAGGAGAAATACAGAAGTCCGAAGGTTGAAGACGACTCCAGACCGTCCGTTCTGCAAGTCCGGAACGTCCGTGTGGAAAATTTCACCATGTGGAAAATTGAAAAACATGATAAGACGGGTCTAATATTACCCGGGCTCAAATTATGAAAAAGTGAAAAAAATATAAATTATACCGGATTTACGGGCCAGACCGGACCCCACGTAGTCTGGACCCAAAACGAAAACAAGGTAAGGGTAAAAACCACAGAACGAACTTAACTGGTTTTTCCGGGCGGACCGGGACCAGGTAGGTCGTACTGGAGGTACAATACGGTAGTATGATTGAAGAGACTCAAAGAAAATATATTAAAATAAATATAAAAGATTACGCAAGCGGAATTGCATGTATAGTAAATAAACTATATAAATGCATGTGATCGGGGTAGTTGGCATGACACTAGCGTTAATTCGGAAGGGTTCGGATTAACGTTTAGCGCGTGATTGTAGAAACGGACGTTTGTGAATGATTGTACGATGTTTGCGAGATTGCGTCCCATCTATGGGCCATCCGATCCGGGTCGGATGCCACCCGTATGGGATATGATTGTGAATGTGGCGATGATATAATCGCGCCAACGTCCGAATGATAGGACGGTTATGGGCACCCCGATGACTTGCGTGGATAGCCGATTGTAGTCGGTACTATTGCGTGACGAGGAACACACGGTTTTTAGAACCGCGCCAACGTATCCGTTAGCGACGGAGCGGACCCCGGGATATGAGTATCCCGATGTAGTCGGTACTATTGCGTGACGAGGAACACACGGTTTTTAGAACCGCGCCAACGTATCCGCTAGCGACGGAGCGGATTCCGGGAGATGAGTCTCCCGAGGATGAGGCAATACATATACCTGAGATTCGGGTGGATTGTGGTCCCCCGAGGAGGTGGTACGGACTTACTCTGCCAGGTTCGGGCCCGAACCTGACAAGTATTTCCGCGGCGGACGGTCGGCAAGGGAGAGTTGCAGTGAGTGGCTCTCTCGTTATAATTGACGGCGTCGGTTGTAGCCGACGTCAGGTGAGCTCCGGTATTGAGAGGTGACATCAATGCCGGAGCGAGGACACGCCTTGCATCGAGAGGTGCCATCGATGCTAGGGTGGGGTGATGTGTTCGGGCGGAGAAAATAAAAAGATACTTATACTGGATTCCGAGTGTGTGCGGAGTAGATGGATTCCGAGGAGAGAGGTGGTTGTGCTATGCACATGGGGAGTACATACCTACGCATGGTGCGCGTAGAGACGATTTGACGGACTCTGTCCTGCGACCTGTCGTACGGCCGACTTGTCGTACGGACTTGATTGTGATTGCTGCGTGCTTACAGTGATTCATGTTTTCAATTCCTGTTTATTAGAATATTAGTATATACACACACATATATATATATGTTTGTGTTTTCCCTGGCACCATGAGAATGGAACTCCGGGTTACATCCGAGTTCACTCTCTAAGCAATTAGCTTAGGACGTTGTTACGCAACGTTTCAGGTCGTGAGCAGCAGTAGCTGAGGAGCGACGGACGTCAGAGACTTGGGTGACCTGCCGTGTGATCATGTATAATTATTTTTCTACGGTACATTTACGTATTTGGGAAATTATAACGGTGGTAGACTTTTATGGTTTGTAATAATGTGATCCTACCACTGTTTATGTATAATTATAACTGGAATAATGTACCGTATATGTATGTATGAATGTTTTCTTCCGCCTAACTCTGAAAATAAAAGTTTTAAATTCCCGCGGATTTTTGGAAAATGTGATTTTATTTTACTTGTCCATGTGACGCAACTCGTATTGCGGGATACGGGTTTCGGGTGTCACACGTTCCATTGTGGTCGTAGTTCGTCCGGTCTGGGTTTTTTTTTAGGTTATGGGTTGTTACATTTGATATTAGCTACAAGGTAAATGAAAGGTTATGCACGTAACAAAACATTACATTTCTATTTGATGTGATGCCTATGCTTTTTTTCTCTCCGAGTGGGGCATGTCTTTCCAGTTTCCACAGCTAGCTTTTGTTGATTCGATGAAAATTTATCCTCCAGCTTCTTCATTGACTCTACAATATTTTTATACATGGGTTATTCGAAACTATCATGACCCGTTTCTTTTTTCATGTAATAAATATTTTTACTTCACTATCATGAATCTCTCCATTTACTCTAAAACATCCGTTTTATGTATTAAAAAATTAAAGATTTTTATTCCACTAACCATCATAAATTTCTCCATTTACTCCAAAGCACACGTTTTCTTTCTAATTAAAGAATCTATTGATATTTATCAATATTAAATATTCGATTTTTCCACTACCTATTACCCACATTTAAACAAAAATCAATTATTTTAAATATACGCATTAGAATTTTAGTTTTTATAAATCATATATTTTTCATTTTATATTATAAAATTAACTTGCGGATAATTTATCTATTTTTTGGTTTATATTAATTTCACGCATTTATTTTGAATTAGATATTTTTTAAATTATTAATTAATCAATTTTAAAATTACTTATTTATATATAGGATTTTTAAATAAATGAAACTAAAATTATTTTAATTATATATTCATTAATATTTTAGTTTACTATAAATCATATATATTTTCAAACGTGTGTGAATTTATGTGAATTTCTAACCATAGATTTTTAATTGTATATCATATATTTGTCTGAATGTTAGAAAAAAAATATTTGTTTTTATTTTTTGAAAAACATCTTTATCTTAAATATTATTTTTGATATATAGATTTCTGTTTTGTTTATATTCTAGAAATCTTTCAAAATTTTAATTTGTGATTATTTATATTTAAAAACGTATGTGAAATTGTGATTGTTTATAATCTTTCAAAAAAAATTGTTTGTAATTAATTGTATAATAGATTTATATAGGTGAGAAAGATTGTAAATAAAGATTTAGAATGGAAAACAAAATACCACATAGATAATGACATGGAGATGAGGTGTCCTCACCACAATTCTTTAAACTCAATTATTAATATATATAGATTTTGTTACTAAATACATGTCGTTTTAGTTTTTCTAGGTGTTTTTTTAATAAAATTTATAATTTTATCTTAAATTTAAAATATATAACTTCAGTAGGGTGTTAATCGCAATGTGGTTTAATAAGGTATATATAATGTTTTTATATTTCTTGTGAAAAAATCTAAAACCTTATTTATTTAGAAAAGGAGGGATATCTTTCTATAATTGGGATGGGAGTTTACTTATTTATTTAATTGGGTTTTTTTTTGCCAAGTTTAGTAATTTTTTATAATTTAGGGTATATTCGGGAAATATTCAGGAAGATATACTAATCTCCTTTGTTTTGGTTATATGTCCTTAATTTTCCAACATATAAATGGAGGGGAACAACTGTTGTCTAAGAGCCCAGATATCAATATATCTTCCTGCAAGGAAAACAGCATGCAAAAAAGCCCAGTAAGCTACTTTATTCTTTACGTGGCATTGTCATGAATAATTTTGACATGTTCTTTTCATCGGGTTATATTTCGAGCCTTAGAGGTCTGATTATTTTCTGCTTTTTAATATCAATTAGTATAATTGTGGTATCACCTACAAGATTTCGAACGGGATTTTTTACATTACAGGTGAGGATGGTGTTAAGACCCCTGAATTTTAGGGATTTTCTGGTATTTTGGTTTTATCATTTAAGGACATTTTAAATTTAGATGATATATTTTGAAATATTTGGCTAGATTTGATAATATTTGGGTTGTTATTTTTCTCTACGCTTTGTATCTCCTATAAAAGGTTGAATACATCGCTAAGTATTCTGGTAACTAAACTCTATCTACTTTGTTTTACATCCTTTGGTTTCTAACCTTGTTTTCCTCAAGAGGGTTTGCTTCTTCTCACGCGGTCAATTCCTCCTATATCTTCTTCCCTTTGCAATTGTTGCGCTTCATCAACCCTCCCAACCTTGCACAATATAATGCATTAGTGGATTGTGCTTTACACACAATATATACATAATATATTAATGAGCTGTGCAAGGTGGGAATGTTGATGAAGTGCTGCAAATTGCCTTAACAGAGGGGGTGAAACCAGATGCAAAAACGTCGTATGCTCCAAATGACTTCATGTAGCCGAAAACCCAACCAAACATGTGTATGGGTATGTGAATTTCGTAACTCATATTATGATATTCGATTGAATCTCACTTGTTAAGCCTTTGGGGATTGTAACATCCCGTGATTTTAAAAAAAATACGGAGTGGGGAAAGCACTCCTTAAAACACTCACCTGCTCCCTTTATATTACCCCACACTCTCTCTCTCATCCATTATGGTTTGATTTTCTTGCCCGTATTCTTTTTTTTTCCTCTTCGACTTATTCTTCCTCCCCTGCGCTGCTTATATCTTCTTCTATTTATTTCTCCTGCAACAAAAGCTTGCACTAGCTCCCTTTCATCAGCCCACCAATTCACTAGTCATTGGATATGAAACCAGAGGTAAGTTCTTCCTCTATATGCTCTTCCATGTGCATCAAATATTGATGGATTGATATGGGATTTGGCAAATGTTCATGAATGATACTGCTAATAAAATGTGCTAGATTGACATGAGAAACCAAAAGAATAAGAGAGAATCATCAAAAACAAATAAGAAACGAAGAGGTGAGTGAATCGAGTTCGATTCGAAAATTCAATTTTCATCGATTCTTAGTGATTTCAACATGTTTGCATTAAATTGATGTTTGATTTATATTATGGAATGAATTTTGTGAATTTTAGGTTTTTAACATGTTGAATTTTGATGTGTTTTGAATACTTTTATGAAATCACGATATTCGTATCGGACCAAATTAATTTCGGTATGAATCGAACTGAGATACGAAGAATGTGAAAATAGATAAATAATAACAATAATTTTGAAATAATAGTAATATTAATAATAATGGTAATGATACTAATAATGATAATACTAATAACCATAATAATAATAATAATAATCGTAGAATAATATTTTGATGATGATGATAAAAATATTAATAACGATAATGATAATGGTGATGATGATGATAAAAATATTAATAACGATAATGACAAGGATGATATAATAATAATAATAATAATAATAATAATAATAATAATAATAATAATAATAATAATAATAATAATAATAATAATAATAATAATAATAATAAATCGGTTTGAATGGATCGGTCTTAATAGTTCACACCAAAACTAATTGAAATGAAATGAGCCCGAACACGGTCTAGATCAGACCGGTTGTAGCTCAGATCAAACCAAATCTAAAAGTAAGTGCGAAACTACGGGACAACCCGAACTGGTAATCTGGGCAGACCGAAATCTAATTTGAACAAATTAAAGTTAAAATAAAAATAAAAAAAAAAGAGTTTGGGACGACCGCCCGAAGCCAAAAATTTTAATACTCAATTTGACTTCTACAGACCCAGAGGAGCTCTAGAAAGTTTGCTACCCATCATCCAATCCGCTACCCATTACTCGCAGCCCGCAAGCATAACCCGAGGTGAGTGAATTCGAGTTTAATTCGGAAGTCTGTTGACATGGGGTTTTGGGTCTTGAGTGATTTCGTGCAAAATTGATGTTTGATTTGTGTCCTCCATGAAGTTATATGAGTTTTGATGAATTATCTATAGTGAATCATGCATGTTTGAGTGTTTTGGGTGAGATCCGAGGACCAGAACGCCCGGTCTGAGGTCAGACCGTCCGTTCTAGGTCCGCAGAAGAAAACGCGAAGTCCAGAGG